GTGGTCTAGTGGGATCGATAATTGCTATGCGACCAAACGTGCCCACGTGAATAACACTCAGGGAGTAATTTGTCATAATTGTAACACTTCACTTTACAGTAAGCCGCCATTTCATTCTAAACAGTCAATGTAATCTGTCATATTGCAGTTTACAGTAAGACGCGAAATTTTCCCAACTAGTTTATGGATGGCAAACTCGGAGTGAAGCAGGACTTTGCTCAGTATAATGCAAACTACTTTCTGGGACATGGGCGCACCCGGGTATGATGCTCACCATCACTTGAATGCCACTAATTTCTTCCGCGCGGAGAAAACGCGCTTTTCACTTCATTTCTCCAAGTTGCGTGTAGCATGAGAAAGCTAGTCCCAAGTCCGAAAATTATTGAAAGATACCATCAAATATTAGGTTGTCCCAGAAGTTCTGGGACACTTTCAAACATTTTTTCAATTCAAATTTATTTCATCAACAAGCAATATCAGTCAACAATATATGTACCATCTCCATCGACGACTTATTGCCAATGACTGCGCAGAGAGTGGATGCCTCTTTCCCAGAAGCTTTCCGGTTTCGAGCTGAAAAAGAAGGCTAGGACGTGTTTGAGGTGCTCCTGAGAATCGTAATTCTTTCCGGCCAGATAGCTGCTGAAGGACCGGAAGAGGTGGTAGTCGGAAGGAGCCAAGTCAGGGCTATAAGGTGGGTGGGGTAGGATTTCCCAGCCAAGCTTCAAGATCTCAAGCTGTGTCATTTTTGAAACGTGCGGCCTTGCGTTGTCGTGAAGGAGGTATATTTTGTTGAGCCGCGAAGCCATATTTTGGAGTTTTTCGGCCAGACTTCGTAGCTGGTTACAGTAAAGCTCACTGGTCACAGTAGCATTGGGGGGAAGAAGCTCCCAGTGGTACACTCCATAAACGCCCCACCATACGCAGAGCATGATCTTCTTCGCGGATTGGTCGGACTTCACGACCGGTTCTGCTCTTTCTAGTGGATCTAGCCACTGGAACTGTTGAGGTATGATTCACATAGAGACACCAATTCTCATCTCCGGTGACAACATTGTTGAGCCAGTCCGTACGGCGGGAGCGGGAGAGAAGTTGAAGGCAGCAGTCGACGCGTTTCCTTTGTTGATCGGTCAACTCATGAGGAATTCATTGACCGAGCTTCAGGAGTGGAGACCTCGATCGACCGTGTTTCTGGAGCACCCAAGGGTTTCGGCTAGAGAGCGAGTTGTCTCGTATGGATTGGCTTCAATCAGGGATCGCAGCCGATCCAAATCCAACAGAGATGGCCTACCTGACCGAGGTTTGTCTTCCAGGTTGTAGTCACCTGAGCGAAAACGATCGAACCATCTGCCCACCGTACTATGAGAGACAGCATCAGGACCTACGCAGAGCAGATGTTCTGTGTAGCTTCACGTGTACTGTGGCCCAGTTGGAACTCGTACAGCAAAACATGACGAATGTGCAACTTTCATCCGCCATTTTTTCCAACAGGACAGAAGCTACAAGGGTCGGTGAACCGGCTGTGGGTAGCTTACATGATCACTCCTACATAGATCAAAAATCTTGATTTCATAATCACTACAAAGGGAATGGCGCGATATTCAAAAAGTGTCCCAGAACTTTTGGGACAACCTAATCTTTGTTTGCTGTCAGAACAAACCGGATCAAGTAATCGATTGATTATGTTGAGTAAAAATGTTCGGAAACCACATGAACCTGCAAGGTTGGAAGATCACTCTATTTGTTAAGCGCATTTCAACGGAAAGGAAGGCAGCGTTCATATTTCGTGATGACGCGCGACGACGCGCTGTAACGCGCTACGATTGCGACAGCGCTCCGATGCTATAGACGCGAAAGCAGCCGCAGACAGAAATCGATCGGTCCTCCCCCCCCCAGCGGCCACATTATTAGACGATATATCGATACTAAATCGCATTGTTAGACATCGCATACCGTCTAGTGCCTTTTTACTCATAAAAAACGGCGCCGTCGATTCCCGTTCGCAGCTGCGCTGACTTCTCTAGTATAGGAGCGCTGTTGCTATTGCTGTTATAGAGCGTTACAGCGTGTCGTTGCGAAGTGTGACCGCTGCCGATCACTTTCGTCAAATCCTAAAAGTTTCTGAACAGTCTATGATGACTTTTCCAAGAGTCTCTGATGCCCCACTGATGCTGGACGCCAGAAGGATGTCACCCAACTATAAGGAAAACCACTTGAAGTAGCTCAGTCCGTTCTTCGAGAGCACTAGTAAGCTGGCTGTTGAACCACCACTGCACACCATAAGGGGTCCCCACTAAAAGGCTAGCCTTATGTGGGGTATCAACTTAATATTTAGGCGTTCCTACCTCCGGTCACGGAAGACCTACACTACTACTATGCCAAGGTTTCGAAAGACTTCCTTGCCGATTTTTAGGTAGAGCGTTCGCGTACTTTAAATGAAAGTATGAGCAAAGTGTTCGCACAAAACTTTATTACACTCTCACGCAAGAGTACACTCTACTTCGCTGCGGACGGTTGGGCGTGTCAGCCAGTATGAGTGTGTCACCCGTCAAAGCCGTTCTCTGCCTTCTTGTTGAAACGCGCATGCGACAAAAAGTGGTAGAAAACGAGTAATACGAAGGATATGATACAGTATTGTCACTTGCCCGCTTCAACAACTGGTGGAGAACGAGTTTGGCACCGCGCCAAACGCAGCCGCACTGACACGCCCAACTGTCCGCAGCGAACTACACTATAAAATGATCACTACAAATTTGCGGTCCGAAGCACAATGAGGGTGCTGAGTGTGCTGGCCTTGTGGTGGCACCAATCGGTGGCAGGTTATTGTGTGGTTCTGATTGCTAGCTGCTGGATTTTGCACCTATCATATATATTGAGTAGTCTCTTAGTGACTCAGAATCTAGGTGATAGCTTAGCTAGAGGAAATGGTAAAGGCGAAGGGGGGGGGGGAAGATTTGTGCCACGTACCGTGCTCATATGCGGCAACACTCGCGTGATCAGGGTGGTTTTGTCAATGTGACCGCCCTTGATGGGGAACCCATGCCAGGTGGTTGGCAAGTCTTTCTGGAGTTTCTGGAGCAACAAGCAAACACATCTGAAACAGAGTCGCATTTTGCTGTCTAAACATCACTTAAAGGTAGTTGGCACAATAAATTCCCCAAGACGAGTAGGATTAATACGCCTGGCAGGACGGAATTCCGCGACCCTGAGCAGGCGCTGCATAATGCCTTTTCCAAGGAAGGTGCCCTTATAAGGGCCCTATCAAGCCACAACATACCGACCCGAACGCCCACAAATGGACGACCGTTCCTGACGCTCGTATTGATTCATTTGCTAAGCAAATTATGAAGCGAAGGGATTGGTATGAAGCGGCCGTGATGCTGCATGGATATATGAGTACACATATGCAGCCGTACCTTCGGTAGCGGTTATTGGCAAGATGCCTATAAGAAACTCGTCCAAAATTGATTTCTATTACATTGAAGGCACGGTCCGCGATCAGGTATCGAAGTTGAAAATATGGCGTCAGGAGGTTAGAGTGGTCCGCGACGAACAACCTTGTACCGGTTTCGCGGCAAAAAATTCTATGGGAGGGGCGCTGTAGCGCAATATAGGTTCAGTGGCTCCTCCTTTTTCCAGTGACTCCGCCTCCAGACTCCGCCCCTAATCCGACTTCCAGTGAAAAATGAGATTGCAGGACGAAAAAGCATGATAATCGCCACTTGTACGATCGTAGAAATCTTATCGGTGAATCAGCCGTGCATATGAGGGCGTAGTTTTGGAGATAGAGTTGATTGGGCACGTAAACTGGGATCGAAATGGGGTTCTATCTAGGGCAGGTGGCATGTTTTTGTGCTTTTTTTGTTCACAGTCGAGTTACTCAACCCCTTGTCGTCTATATGGAACCCCCTGATTTGAGATGGCGAGTAATCGCGGGTTCTTCCTTTGAGGAGGGAGGCTCTTTCTTCTCAGGATTTTGACCGTTCACTCCGTTCTTTCGCCATCTTCCCCACTACACAGCGCCCTACTAGCATTTTAGGCCGAGCACCAAATCATCGTGCCAACTGCCTTTCAGTCTTATTAGCACCTTCCGTAGTTATGAAACCCGTTCGTGAGAAATTTCGTGCAGATTTCAAATCTCCCCTTTCATGAGGTGGACAGGGACTTCCACATTTCAGAAGAAAAGTTCAATCCTTACAATGAGAACGCTCTTTGTCTTGCTTACACTCATGTGTAACGTGCGTTGTGCCATACATTACAAAGAGATTACCATTTCAGAAGTTGGCGTGCTGTGGTGGTTTCATAAAATGCACCATTCTTCCGAGTACTTCAATCTCAGCACTGGTTTACGATTACCAGCACTTCAGGTTCCTTGTTGTAATAATTTCGAAAAAAAATTGTTTGTATTGTCGTCCGCATGACTGTTGTGAACAAAAAGGCATCTAGGTAATAAAAAGCTACAGTACTTAGAGCGGTGAGACTCCCTCAGGAATCAGCAACTGTTTTTTTTGCCTGATTCTGGACTTCCAAGGTTAGCTGATTCATCACAGCCTTTCGGGTGACAGTGGATTGTACCTTGCAAACTATATGAGAGTCAGGAACCATGTCATTTAAGAGAGTTCTAGACTTTGGAACCGTGTCCTGCACAGCAGACAAAGGCGGTAATGTTCTGAAGGGGTTATTCGAAACAAAGACTTCTTCCCTCAAGTGCAGTACTGGAATTTTATGGATTATGGAGTATTTTGAAGTGAGAATAATCTAAAATTATAAGCTGTTACCAATATGAGTCGCTGTGAAAAATCAGATCCCAGTATGACTCAATTTTCGACTGATTTTCTTAGAAAGTTGTTCTTAACTCATTTCTGAAATACTTGAGGGAGATCTAAAAACCAAAACTGATCCCGATCTTGGAGTGCAAGTAAGAGTGAATAGCGGAGAAATTAGCATCAATGAAGCAAAAGGGCTTCTCAAGGGCAGTGAACACAATGGTTGGAAGTAAAAACGGTTGCTCCTGTTGGAAAGGCTGAGTGTGTTGTGGCCAAACGCTCTCTTGTAGCCCTTTAGCCAGTGAAGTTGACGGTAACCGTCCGCCCCAGTCATCGTGCCTACCGCCCTCGAACAAGCCTTTTGATTTTGATTACTTTCTCACTATCAGAATGCTGATTCAAGTTCATTTAAGGATGTCGCCCAAATGCTTCCTGAACTGTTGCAAGCTTTCTTCATTCCTCCCAACATATACATAGTTCATCGCGCTCTGAACCTTACATATCAGTTCTGGCTTCATACAACTGTGAGTTCAATATTATAACACATTTTTTCGCTTTTGTTGTGGTCTGACCTCCGCTTTGATATAATCCGATTTTGTAATGATGCCATGGGGCAAATTGCTGTGCTGTGGATGAGCGGTTCTATCGTACGTCCTTTCACGCCCCTCATGTCGCGAATGGGCGGCAATTTCAGCGATCCTTCGTGTTACTTTATATCCTTCAGCAATATTGATTATGATATCATAAGCTACATGGTACATATTCTAAATCATGAATTCGATGGAGCTGTGGGACAAGACCACTCTTACGCAGCGGTCGCCAACCACGCTTACCTACGCGGCAACCCAGCAGCGCCCCACGATTGAATCGCCACATACCTGCTTTTGTGCTGCACTCGTTTTTACTTTTTTGGAGCTCGCGGAGCCACTTGCTTGACTTTTTCACACTACTTCTCTGAATGTCAAGTTGAATAAGAACTTAAAGCCATAAAGCTTGGAGAACATGCCTACAAGCGCGACATTATAGATGGATGACATTGAGAATGAAGTGAAGCGAATGGACATACATAATTTCTACAATTTCACTGTAGGAACCACTCCAAAGTCAGCATGAACAACAGACATGCGAGATCTCTTACAAGTAAGGGAGGGGTGCGGTTAAGAACCGCAGAGGATGTGCGCTTTGTGGATCGAAAGTCTCTGACATAAACTCTGCCCCGACTGTCGATCTGCACCTAAATGCTGTTTCGTGATACGGTTTCGCTCGCTCCCGGTATAGCATCCCATGGGGAAGGGTGTTCCTCAAAATTTTGTCAGTGTTTTATGAGAGTGCCTGTTATACTCTTTGGAATGAACTTGTGATTTTTCTACTTCCTGAGACTATTGTTTGAGTGGTGATTTCAAAATATTGATTTGTTCCAATTTTCCAGTAACATAGTTTGATATTTTAAAAACTCTCTTTTTAGGCAATACCTTACCTCGGTCCTATTGAATACTTTTTATGCACTCCATCCAGCCACCGAGTTCACCATGGCAGGAATCCTTACTGTATCGACAGGAACTATGGCACCACCTTAATTATTTGGGACAGGTGAGGTGGTTTTCACACTTCGATTGATTTATTCCATGAGCAAGGCATCGTGTGGATGTAGAAAATGAAGAGTATGTATAAAAATCAATAAAGGGAAATAAAGCGAGGTGAGAACCAAGTAAACTGAGTAGCAAGAGACAAATGTGCTGGTTAATAAACTAGGAGCTGGATCATAAGCTGTTTGAAACAAGCCAATATTTTGGAGATACCGCAGCGGCTAATGATTTTGTTATAGGGTGAGCCTGCACCGTGGCAAAAGTAATGAATTCTTATTCTTGGATAGGTACTGCTTTCTGGAGGCATTGTTTTTATGAAGCTCCTGTGCAATGGAAAACTATATAGGCATCTCCTTACACATTCTGCCTTGAAAGGACACTCCAGAAAAAACTGATATGAGAGGTGGACTCCAAATATGAATCCGTATTCGAGTTATCTCAGCCGAGGAAAAGCAAAAAAAAAACATCGATACACCCGAGTTGCGTTTCGCACTTGATCGCAGTTTTTACAGTTTGCGGTGAAAAGCCTCAGCGCGCAAATCATGAAACAGACAATGAAGGGCAAAAGTATCCACACAAGAGTGTGACTGCTATCGCCCCCAAGACCCTTGCCAGTCTGAGCCTGTAATTCTTAAGAGGCGTGCGCTATCACTGTGTGCAAAGGACGACATCTAATAATCGAGCTATGCCTGCGTGGCGCGGTCGCACTGCGCTGTCAAGGCGGAACTCAGCTCGTGGAGAGAACTACAAAGTTCCCGCTCAAATAGTGCTTATTTTGTTATCACATACTTTGGAATATAATATATGTAGCTATATTCGTTCAGCTACAATCATAGCTTATCTCTGTTTGGTAAGTGGCCAAAAAAACCGGGTGCCTTCAACCATAGATTTGAAGTAAGCCCTGCCGGGCACATCATTGGTTGGGGATTTTAGTGGAGTCTGTACGACTCCCTCCCTTTTTTTAGGGGGGGGGTTGTAGGACGACCCCCCCTCTCCGGCCCTCTGTATCTCCGAGCCGTCGAGGGGGGGAGGGTTGGGTAAATAGCACGTGTGAAACAGGGAAAGCCGTGAGACAATATGGCTTCTGTCTACCAATTCTCCGATTTTCCCCTTCCTGCTACTTTTTCCAAGATTTCCTGAAAACTTCCCTACTTTTTCCTATATATAATACGCATGAAATAGGAAAATCATGAAAGTTAACCACCACTCCCACCACACCTAGAAAGGCCAGGAAGTAAGTTCGACGCCCCGCCCCCCTTTACAACGTCCATGAAGCGAGAAAAATCAACTATGAAAATAGAATCCCCAACAGGGGGGGGGCGCATTTTGTCGCCAGTAGAGGGGGTCAGCCGAAACACGACCCTCTCTCCTGGCGACACAAATACGCCCCCCCCCCTGTTGGAGATTCCCCAACAACTTTGTGCCCTGACCCCTGCCTTCAGGCATTTGTCCTGATGGGACTAGGCAGGACTGTACTTCGAAGAAACAAAAATATCTTCTCTTACAGAATTTTTGGCACTTATGAAAGGGAACGAAAAGACGAAGAAATAGTATATGGATTGGTGAAGCCAGTAAACACATTCGATCAGCTGTACAGTCAGGTTCGCAGCAGATTGGTCGAGTTTCTATGACTAAACAGATCAGTAGTAATCGAGCATTTTCAGTTCTCTGAGCTCAAGGCTCTGACTTATGATAAAGGTCAGTTGAGGAACGAAAAAGATGAAGAAGTGTTCCCGGGTGTGTGGAATAAGGTGAGGATTCTGCTTTTAAAGTGGAACAGTTCTGATTTCTCTGTTGCGGAAAATGCTGGATAATGAATCGCCAGTGGAATTGTAGGTCAAAAAGCCGCTTTCTTGCCGCCGGCTTACGTTCCACAGGAACTGCGAACAAAGTGTTTCCTTCCTTTCGTTACATTGACTGGAGAGGATCAACAGCTGACGGAATAACGTGAGGTGAAAATCTTTGTACCCACACGGCGATTGCCCGTACAGCTATCGAGTCAGGGCCTGGAATGAGCTCCATCGTATCAGCTTATGTTTTGATCGTGAATCGGCTTCTATTGCAATCAAAAGCGCCGCAGTGATCTCCGCTATAATCGCCACGATCAGGCGCCTCTCATTACGATCGTCTTTCGGGCAATGGGCTTTCTCTTGCTACTATTTTTGCCCTTCGTGGGGTCCTGTTGTGCATTCTCTGGCTGCCGGAATTTCTCTGCCGATTCAGCTTTATCATCGCCTTCTTTCAAAATGTTTGGCTACTATTTCGATCACAAGTTGGTTCTTGGTGATAGTATCTAGGCAAGAGGGCTACTAAACGTGATTCTTGTGGTTTCAAACGAAGTGAATTCTAGTCGCTTCGCTCTGCAGTTTGACCTGGTGCGGCTGATCTGGATGACGCGGCTATTGTGTTGATTGGAGTGTTCCTGAGCGACTGGCTGATGACCGTCTATGGTTTCGCATCGTTGGTGATTGCCTTGTGGCTCTGTATTGCCGGTAAAATATGTACATCGTGCAGGCACAATAAGCTAAAATGTTCTTGAGAACGTATTTGGCATATGGAAAGTACATATTGTATAAGCAAATTCATACGAATAAATTTACGAGTTAGAATATTGATTACTAATTTAACAACAGAAACGACAAGGTGCTGAGATAGCGGATCTACTAATACCACAAGATCTGACAGCGAGGGGGAAGTCTTAAAGCAGGGCTCGTTTGGGAATGGGAAGAGCAGCGATAGTCAGATGTTGCACAATCAAATCGGAAGGAAATTTACTCTTGGTTCTTGCTCTGGAAAGCACCTAAAGAAAAAACACCCTGAAAGGCAGATGCGAAGCTACAGGTCCCAGACAGTGAAGGCACGGGCGGTGCTAAGACAATGACCGTCCACAATGTCATTCCCTGAGCGAGCTGTACAGATTATACGCTCTGGTACTTCTGAGCCGTAGGAGCACATTTAGACCTTTCCGGTACCTCTGCGTGGGAATCGAACGTATGGCGCAATACTGCGGCGTTGTCAATCTGCGCCGAACGAGCTACTTCCCAGTAACTTTGACGAAAAAATGTGTAAAAAGCTTATCCAAGTCTTCGAATAAAATGGAGCAGTTTTTCCTATTCCCGAAGATGCGAGTAAATGCTGGGATGCTTGTTCCAAAATAATCGAACAAGTACCAGAACCCAATGCAGAAGCTAGTAAACTTCGCTGTTTTTGATTACTTCTAGAATAGACCACAAATCTTTATGAAATACTCCCACTTCTTTCACGTGGAGCGTGGGAGCAAGCTCGCAAAAAGGAGTATTTTTGCTCCAGTGGTCGTAAATTGGATTCGATCTAGATTTCCTTATTGTCGGAAGTTACCTTATCACATTAACTATGTGCAGATGAAGCCTCAGTTTTATACAGCCAAAAATTACTTTTTCCCCCCAAGGAAATCACTTCTGTTTATCTCCTCGATAAAATACAATGACACAACTGCATGGTTTACAGCTACCATACATTCTACAATACCTTCCTGGACAATATGTGGCTGTTGAAAATTGAAACATATTCAGAATGGTTTTTTTTACCCGTGCCGCATCCCAGCAATGGGACGCAATGTCGCCAATGTGTTAATCAACGCACAGATGAACTGTTTCCCGATAACTGCGACGGATCAATGTTTCCTAGAATTTAAACTCTCCAAACAAATTGGAGCTGTACTGTCGCACGAAGCTGTCCACAACAAATGCACAACAAGGAATTTTCTCACCCAATGAACATCGCAAAAGATCAAGGATTTTTGGAAAGAGAAAGTTCTCTAGATTCTGGTACTGTTTTACAAAAGAAGTCCCATATAAAGAAAGTATGGCTGTTAAAAGCATTAAAACTTGCGGATGACACTAAATTCCAAGAACGACGATCCAGTGGTGATGATGCTGAGGAAGGAGGTCGTAAGGGCATTAAAAGCTCTATGGGTCACATTTGTCGGTGGGAGGGGGGGAGGAGGAGGAAGCGAAGGGGTCACAGAAGTGTTTCCACCGCTTGACCACAGCTTCTTTTGGGTAGAAACAGGTAAATTTCCTGGAGAACGAGCATAAAGCTGAAGGGTTTTGGAGCTGTGGTTTCACCCATTCCGAAGCTCATCATACCTAATTCCCACTCGCGCTCCCCACTTGACGGTAAAATTGCCTGAAAATACGTTGTGAAGTAGGACCGTACAGAAGGGGTGATTGTGAGGGGGACATTTTGTATAATGCGATAGTGCGCCCTGCATCCACTACCAAGAGCCGTCCTTTGGAGGGAGATGCCTTGGATATCTAGAGCTACACTTCGCGTTCACCTATCAGTGCTCTGGCAACGCCTGCACTTTATCGATATACACTCTTGCGTTTTCTTCAGGACCATGATAAGAGTCCAGGCGCGCTACCGAGCCTGAAGCCTCACACATCTTCTGTGGGATTAGCACCTCAACTGGAGCTCCATCAAATCGGATATTTCGTTATATTGCAGCTGATCAGCAACCTTGATGAATTAGGCTATGGTGAGATTGCTAAGTGCGGGAGTCTACCTGTTGTCTCGCACACATCCTCTGAACTGAAGCTCAGAAGATCAACAGAACCGAGCTCGGCATCGAGGTTGTTCTCAGGTTAGGTGAGGCACGATACGAGCGGGATTTGAGCGAACTCTCTCCCTCATCTCCCTAGCTGCGAGATCAATATCTATATAATCCACAGCGGTAGTCAACTGTCGCGAACTATGGACGCTACCTTACAAATGGGTCTACCTACCATACTGAATGAGTAGAGCTTCAATAGCGTAGCGCAGTTCGGCTTAGTGGATACATTTTGCTAGTTCCCATCGATCCCTTCCGATGCCGCCCGTGGAGGCCTGTATCTGTAAATCGCTGTGAAGCTATGCAGTAACAGGAGCTTCAATTACATTTGACAGTACTTCACAGGTACCACCATGGTGTGTCCATATAGTGCAACAGGAACGAGCAAAAGGCACGGGCGAAGTGAAGAATGCCCCTCCCAACCCCAACAGCGCCAATAGCCTTGATAAATTTATGACTTATGAAAAATTTATGACTCCAATTGATACAATCTATTAATAGGGCAATAATGACTTTACTTGACTATATACAGATAAATATTTCATCGAAAACTTCAACACATAAACAGGATAATAATTGAAAAAAAAAAAACGAAGTAGCTACAGTAGTAACGTGATCACGTCATTACAGGAGACAGCGATACTGGATTGGCGTTTGTGTAAGGATAGCGGGGGTAAAAATTCTGCACCGCCTCTTCCGCAAGTATCTTCTCTTCAACTGAAGAGTTGTGCTCGACAAAACCATCGATCGATAATATCTGAAAATTCAAAACAGTACAAATTCACTATCTTAGGCCTTCCTGAACGAACGGAAGGGAGCAACGATTGATTGAAAACATTGAGAATAGTGATTTTAAATACTTCGGGAATCTACTTTGCAGCGATAAGCGTTAACTGGTAGTTGTGTCTACTAGCTAATTAACTCGAAATATTGCACTAACTGTACATTGAATCGGTTTGGTCCTGGTGCGAAGTGCCGCGTATGAGTGACGTCTTTTGAAAAACTTCAACGAAATGAAAAAGACCATTAGCCCTTTGTGGCAGTTTTCTACCCATGTCTGTTTCTTTTCTAATTGTTCGCGTCGCCGCAACCTGGATCTCCTAACCAAATGCTGAGGAACATTATTCACCAAGAGCGGATGAAGAATGTCAGAGAGCGGCACCACTACAGTATACCCACTTTAGAGATGGCTATAGAGGGTTCAGGGAGATATACATATAATGGAGCAGTTCGGCGACGTAGGGGGGATTCTGCACTTTCGCTGCTTTCCATCGACGTGGCGACCCACAGACAGCCTCTTCTTGGGTTGACAGGTTTTAACACGATGACTTCACGAGTTTGTTCCAGTTCCACAAGAGTTCACGGGTTTCGCAGAGACTTGCAAACCGGAACCAGGGAAGCAACGAAAGTGCAAAATATCCCCCCCTCCCTCGTCGACGAACTACGTCGATATGACAGTAGTGTGAGTTTACTGCAGTTTTTGTAGTCGAAGGCAGTGGGCACGATGGCAGAGGGGAGGGCGGTTACTGCCGTCATTGGTGGAAGGACTGCGAGAAGGCGTTTGGCCACACTCCACTCAGCCCTTCGACCAATAACGTTTGCAGTGAACGCCCTCCCCCCGCCAGCCATCTGCCTCAAAGTGGTATGACGCGAACGTGCGACAACAAGCCGAGTCATCTAGCTGAGTGATTACGCGCGAGTCAAGCTATGCGTCTTCCCATATCGGATCTCCTGACCCCACCCATTCACAATATCGATCCCTGTAAGAATTAGGCAATTCATTGAAAATTCTGAATAATGAAGGGTCACATTTTCTCCTTTCGATAGTAGGCCAGTGCAATGAGATAGACAATACAGAGTACCGTTGAAAGTGCAAAAAGAAGAGTTATGAATAAGAAGTACCGCGATTCTGAAAACAAGTACATAGGCTCTATGTTATGACCCACAGTGCAGTCGTATCTCTGAAGTCAAACAGGGCGTGTCGAAGGTGCTTGAGTTCTGGCGCGGCGCCAGTCCGTTTACCATCGATCTTGCGGACTTGGACGTGGTGATGAGCGGCGGGGAGGAACTGGCGCCGTGTCAAACGTTGCGCTGACACGCCCCGACTGCTTTGGTGGTGACGGCTACACTTCAAAATACACTACGATATTTCATGATACTTTGTGATACTTCATAATAATGACACTTCACAACATAAATATTTCACAATACTTCATAATGGTAACATTTTATGAATGTAGGTCTTACGAAAATGTTTACAAAAAGTCTGGCATCATCAAACAGTCATGATCTTTGCAAACGATAGGTTGTGTGACGCGGCGCGTATTGGGGTCGCAGCCAGAGTTTTTTCCCCACCAATGATGCCATCATGAACCCGCTATGACTATAGGGAAATCTTACTGGCTGTGCTCCAAGCCATGTCCCCGCCACACGCTCTACCGTTTGCAGGGATTATAACTGTAAAAGGTTTCGCTTCCAGCAAACTTTAGCAAGTCGCTAATTATATTGTGCGATCGTTGAAGAGCTAATTATCCTCGAGGATATGGTTAAAGGTCACCGTTCTCCAGACGGTCATATTATTCCACCCAGAGTCCTGGTTGGTAGGAAGAGTGTTCTCACTCTCCATTCTTTGCCCTACGGCTCTCATGAATTCGGCGAAAGGAGCTGCACAACGTGCAAGCAGCACTAGAGGAAATGTATAGTCGTTTTTTCGCTGCAGTTGCCGGGGCGTGCCACTGGTAGCAGGGACGGGTGAGCTGCGTTTGGGGGCCAGCTCATTTTCCACCACTCGTTTTCGCCTGCGGCGAGAAACAGGCTAGCGGAGCGCCAAATCCAGTTTCTTGACGAGCCTCAGAGTCTGCATCAGATGCCACAGTATGTCATCCATAAGCACAGTTCGATTATCATTCGTTCCTAATACGCCCCATAAATCAGTCATCAGGTCAGCTCCATATGTCTCAGTGAGAAGGTACACCACATTTCCCAGAGCTGGGGAGGGCGTTGCTACGTACACCACGGGAACGGAGCGTGAAATTGGGTTCTTCTGGGGATAAATCCATTTGGGAGCCCACCTTGTCTTGAGCGAAGGACAAAATACGTGGTCACATTTATCCTAAAACAGCAATATCTCACCGATAGTGCAGTAGAAGCCACGTTCAAATGGAGTGTGCAGCCACGCCACACACACACACACACACACACACACACACACACACACACACACACACTTGGATATGGAAGGTTGGAAGAAATAATGGACACCTCTCTAATCATTTTCAACGTCAGCTATCAAAAATTGCCAAAAAATTTACCTACCATGGGATATGACGTCATCCGATACTTTTTTGACATTGATGACAAACAGAACTGCGCTTCCATTCGCAGCCAAAATCTGAAAAAGGTGTTTTGGCATCAAGCCAAAAAAGGAGTCCACGAACGCCGATCTTATTACTTCCATCACTGAAGATGCATTTCGCGAATAACTGGAGAGACAGAGAGATGGACGGACACTCATAACCCTTGTGCGTTCTTCCTAGCACAACAGAGTAAGGACACGTACTAAGCCAAATTGGTCGCGAGTCCCCGCCCATCTGGTTATCGCGGATGCCTTCAACTAGTCGCCTCATAGTACACTAGATATCTACAAGATGGAGAGGGCGTGGGTGCGCACTCATTCGAATGTGACGGCTGCAGCGTATTTGATGGGGTATTGTCGTTCCGGAAGCTATCATGGCTTTGACCGGCGCAAAGCAGGATGGCATTTGTCCCACATGGAAATATCCGACAAATACGCAACCCATGCTACGTTTAAATGAAGTAAATAGCCACGCCCTCTCCTTCTCAGGGATATGGAGTGTCCATTCGTTAAGCAGAAGTGAGAAAATGCAGAAAAGAACTGGATTCAGGTACCGAAAGAAATATGTGAAGGGGTTGCGGCACACAGCGTTCCAGCGTTATTCCAGCCACAAAAATTGAGAATGTTAGAAGCCATTGCATACAAACCGAGTAAAGCAGCGCTCCTTCTCCTAAAGTCTTATTCATTCATTGGCGGAAGTAACACGTCAGCAGGCCTGACTCGCCCACCTCATCAATTGGGAGCTGCTTTCAACCCAAACAAAGCTTTTGAGTTTTGATAAATAAAACGAAAGGACGGAGAGGACTCTAATAATTACCGAAAATGTCGTCAAAAATGTCCCGTTTCACCAACGGCATCCGACCATGTGTGAACAAAACAGATACCATTGTAGACGAGCGCTATCACCGCCACGACACTGTAGGTCGCAATGTGTGCCTGAACAATTTAATATTAGTTCTATGACCTTACTAAAGGTTCCTTCTTAATATTGGGCGCTGTTGGGCTTGCGGGGGGGGGGGAGGTGGAGTTGCGCTTTTCATTAGTTTTTTTTTCAAAAGCTGTTGTTGGATAACATTTCTTGAAACCTGCAGACTCTTGTCGATTGCAAAGGAAGCTCTTCCTACTGCATAGCTTTACAGGAATTTACAGGTCTCAACAGGAGGCATTGGCAAGGATCGCTGGAAACTGGCGAAAATGCCCTTACTAAGCGGAACAGCGCCGAATATGGATTTGGTAAAAATCAAGATTGAAATAAGGAACAAAAGGCAAGTTTCGAATAGAAATGGCCCAGGAGATAATGCCATAGGATCGCTGTCCTTGCTCATTTCAATTCTAATGTTCAATGTAAAATTTAACCGCAACCAAAGCCTGCCATTACTTTTCCGTCTATATCTGCTTAATACGTGCGCAGAGTATAGTTATTGATTTTACGCGCATAGAATCAATAAGCCTTTAGAATCACACGAATCAGCAGGTGTGTCAAAAAAGCCCGCGAGCCACGAAAAAAATATAGCAATGGCATAAAACTAAGGACATAGTGCTCATGAAGAACGTGGATATCGATTATACGCACATAATATATCTCTTTTTATAATGTATTATATAATACAATTATAATTCTTGTTTCAAATTATAACAATCAGGAGGAGCATTGTTCATTTTAATTTATATGTTGTATTGAATAGCACCCAAAATCCCCCTCCCCCCTTTGGTTCACAATCTGCTCTGTGCATGTGTAGAATATGGTTATCGATTCCACGCGCGTAAAATCAGTACGCATTCAGAAACCGACAAATTAGTAGTCAAAAGTGTTCGTGTCAAGAAAAATATACAAGTTTCGAAAACTTATACACATTTTAAATGCAGGTATCGATTGTACACGCATAAAATCAATAATCGTTATGGATCACAAGCATCGGTAAGCGCAAAAACGAATCTATTTTTCTAGGAAATATTTGGGGAAGCGTAGGGAGACTCTAGTGGACTAACCGTTGTGAATGGTATCCACTCCAACTTTATATCGTTTGACTTCACTGTTTTTGCATGGATTCTCTTGATGGGCTGGAAAATACATAAGCTAATAGAAAATTAACTCAAAAAAAACAAGGCGGACAAACAAGAAAAATATCAAGGTCAAGACTGGCTGGGGCTAAGCTAAGATTCGAAGCACTCACCTCTTCTATGGAAATAACGTACGATGGTGGCGGTCCAAGTTGAGCAATATGAGAGGACGTCGAAGGAAATGACATTTTTTGACCTTACTTTTTCGTGCAACAATCGCTTATATAGTATCTCACAATAATCCTTCGAGGAGTGTGCCATTGGTGAGTCACCTCATGGGTGCTCGGTTCCTTTGTCGTCGGCTCAACAGCGCCTTCGGTAGACTGCCCTTTGGAGGATTTGGAGGCTGCCCGTTGGAAAGCTGGCGGCTCGGCGGTGACTCTTTAGAGGTGGATTCCATCCAGCTGGGTCAACTGCTAAATGTATCTATAGGATGTAATAGACTGCGGTAGCTGCACCTCAATTGTTGTTTGCATTTGTAGCTGTTTCTTAGACAGGTAGAAGTGGTTAAGAAATAACAATAAAAAATTGCGAAAAACTAGTGCAACTTATAGAGTATAATGTGTGTAATGTGACATAAATTATGTTTGGCAAAAAAGGTGTGTTTTTTTGAGCCCGATATCTCATGGGATCTACTGTGCGTAGAGGAATGCGAAAAAAACCGCTTCGCGAGGAGAGTCGGAGGCCCGGTGGACGGGTGACGTAGTTGGACTCAGGAAAAAAATTTTTTGATTGCTTGTCTTTTTCTCAATACACTTTTGTCATCGACGAGGAAGTGAAAATTAATTGATAAATTATTATTCATTATTATTATTTATCAATAAATTATTCTTTGTTAGGGGTGAATTAATCAACTAAATTAATCGATTAATTCACATATTAACATATATATATATATTTAACATATTATATATTATATTTAACAAAAAAATTTAGAGATGATCGAGGCCAACTAGCATTATTAGAATCCCACTCGTGAGGGAACGTTGACGATGTCTACCTCAGACGGGAAAGTCTCCTAATTTCTCAATAAAGAAAATCGGTAGTCTCCTAACACTCTCCCTCGACCCCCCTCTCAACAGTTCTTTTTTGTTGGATTTTACAACATAATATTACATATACATATAAATATACATATTATTACATATTACAACATATTATTATTATTCCATTATCTTTCATTTTCGATGATTTTTCTAATCCATGCCCACTTGTTTTTCATATGGGGTTCTATAGAAGAAAGACCGCAAAAATGGAAAGCACTAGAAATTCTCTTTTCGTAAATTCACCACTCCCTGCCGAATGGAGAGTAAACTGTCTTAACCATGGACTGTAGACTCGCTTCTGAGGGTGGCCCTGCCTAGTTCAGGACAAATAGGTCCGCAGCTGCCGTAGCGTGGCACCTTCTCCGCTCAAAAATACATGTAAAGAGGCAGGAATGTAGTGATGCCCGTTTATAGCCTCCATATTCCGCCCGCGCTATTCTGAAATTGAGAGAGCGGAGACATGTAGCGCGTCCGGCTACGGTTAGGCGTGTGGGTGGCCGTGCGGCGGCGTGGCGGAGTCGGGAGACGGCACCTGGGTAGCGCTACCCTCGAGCCTCTTTCAGTGCACGTTCAAGCACGGAAGGTGGTCCGCTACTAAAGCTGTAGACCCACTCACCTGCCATATGCCAAGGACCAGGATCTAGGAAAGTGAGCGTACATTTTTCTTAGAGACAGTTGGCACGATAAATCCCTAAAGGTTACGCCTGGCAGGAGGGAATCCCGCGCTTCTGAGCGCCTTTTTCCAAATAAAGGTATCCTGCGATATAGGTTCTATCAAGCCGGGCGCCCACCGCGCCTGCCGTCTATTATACAAATGGACGACCATACTTGATGCTCGTATTACTTCATTTGCGAAGTAAAATATGAAGCGAAGGGATTGACATGAAGTGGCTGCGATGCTGCATGGATATATGAGAATATACATGCAGCCGTGTCTCCCGCAGCATTTATTGGCGCGATGCCTACGAGAACTCGTCCAAAATTGCTTTCTGAGTCGTTAAGTACGAAGGTTTTTTTGCAGGTTCTTGACCCTTTCACATCGTTTTTTCGCCATTTTCCCACTGTATAGCACGTACCCTGCTGGCATTTCAGATAGGGTAACAATTGCCATATGCCTTCCAAGCACGCCGTCGACTACCTGATTTGGGGTCTTAAGCGGCGTAACGGCGTGCAGGTAAGGTTGGATGGTCCCGAATTCTTTCATGGAATTTCTGAAGTGGGATCTATTGTGATGGATCCAGTGGGAACTACTAGGTTGGAAAGAAAGTCCTGCGACACTTTGAGAAGAGTTCTCAAGATATCAAAAAAAATTCAATGTTCTCACCCCTGATTAGTGGTGAATGTTCTCTGAGGTTTTTGCAGACAGGTATATTATGACTTTGTGGAGGATTTCAAAGCCTGAAATTCCACGGTCAAGGTCTTTTCGACCTGTCCCTTATTATGAGTTCCCGTAGGGCCACTCAACCGTAGTCGAGGGAGCTAACACCTTTGAGGAGCGATATCGCTTGCCATGGCAGAGGGTAGCTTTTGCATCAGCGCTTCCAAGCTGGACTTATTTAATAGGCAATGTATAGGTCGGCCACCAGCACAGAATGACGGCCCTTTACTCAAGCTTCTTGAGGCGCAGCCGAACGTAACCACCAGTAAGTTGGCAACCTCTCTAGGCTCCACCTGACTGACAACTGCCATGCTTCTCCGCAATCTCGGTTATCGGGAAAATTTTTTGTGAAGGATGCCTCACAAGTTGGACCAGTCAAGTCATACCGAATGACCGTAACTGGAAGAACACTGATCTTGTGGTTGGTGGCGAGTGTCGGGCTCCTCGCGTAATCCATGCCCACTTCTCTCACAGGATCTCCCAAGGAGAAAAGTAGATTGCTTAGCCAAAAGCAGATGTGCATGGGATAAAGGTTTCGGTGCGTTATTGGTGGGACTTCAAAGCGGTATCGCGCTGGGTACTGGCACAGCGATGTCGGCCACAATCTTCACTCATCGACATCAAAACATGGATGACGTCACGCTTGGATTCACTCAGAAATACTCATTTCCCAAAAGATCATGGATGTCGATCAGGGGATGCGAAGGTACCCAGCTCATTCACCAAAGTTCGCAGCCTCTAATTGCCACCTCCTTTGATCCCTACCGCATCCTTTGGAAAGCAAAAATTCCGAAAATCGACGTCTACTCGAAAATGAGGTCCACCTCTTCTTTTTATCATAGTTGCCGTAGTTCTATAAGAATGGAAATGAGAAGCTGTGCAAAAGGTGGGCACTAGTCCTAGTCGTTGATGGTGATTACCTTGTAGATTGGAAATGTCTCTTAGTGAAGGAAAATTTGGTCCTTTGGTCAAAGTGTCGCAGGATTTTCTTTCCAACCTAATTGTATGATTACAAGCACACAGATCGGAGAACATACGTAACATTCGCCACATAGTCAATCAGGCGAATCTCGGTTAACCCAAACTTATTGTTATTTATTTTATGACAATAGTTCAGTAAAATCCTTATTGCAGTGTATGCCTTCGAAAGCTCGAAAAATAATGATAGCGTTATGTTGCTCTTCAATTTGCAAAATCTGGAGAATCAAACACCTAACGAGCTCTGAACCCTTGTTGCTGATTTTTCGGTTTTTGCCCGTGGTTCCAGTGCGTCGATATATTTTAGAAAGGAAACTATTCCGTTACAAGTCACACCAGCTGGACGGCGGCAAAGAAAACACTGTTGAAAAGTGAACAAATTACATTCCACTAATATTAGGTGAGCAAAGTTCTCGCGATTCTTGGTGCTCTAATTTCGAATCCTGTTTAATGTACCACTTTTTGTGAAGTTTCTGTCACCAATTACTGCCTAGGCAATGACGGCACCGCACTGTAAACTTCAGCTCATAACTTGGCTTTGGCGAATAGAAAGGGACCGATTCTACTCCACGTCAGCCCTCAGGCCGGAGTCGTACAACCTGCAATGAAGAACTTGAACGAATTGGGCTACGGAACTCTCCCGCATCCACCACATACCACAGCTAGCTCTCGCCGATGGCAGTGGTCAGCGAAGGGGGGGCGGCCGGTGGGGCACAGTCGGTCTTTGAGGAAGACAAAATGTTGACCCTTTTCATGGTTTTTCCCGTTTCACGCCTATGCTTCACCGCTACCCCACCCCCCCCCCTCGGATGCCACGCTTGATTTCAGGGCCCCACTCGCTCAGTCCGTCTTGCGACCTGGAAATGTCTTCGACGCGGTTGATTTTTCTTCGTTGGGTGGTTGCTGTTAAGCCCCGGTGGCGGTCTATTTGCTCGTTGTGGTTGGAGAGGGGGTCGTGATATCCCGAGAGTAACTTATGCCGGGATTGTGAACAAACTTCCCCAGTTGTTGACTTTCGGCGGTTTCTCCTGTTTCACTTGTGCCTTCCAAAAGCCATGGAGAACTGGGATCAGAGCACATCGTTGTTGGGCAATTCCCAACAGGGGGGTCGAAATAGGTCGCCGGGAGAGGGGATAGTATTTGGGCTGAAAAAAATTAATTTTTTAGTTGATTTTTCTCGTTTTAAAGACGCTATAAAGGGGGGGGGTCATACTTGCCCGTTGTTGGGAGGTGGGGGAGGTCGTATCTACTTTCGGCCTTCTGGGAGTGGTGGTTGAGTTTTCGTGAATTTCCTGTTTCGTGTGTACTATTTACCTCCTCCTCCTCCCGTCATACGCTTCCAATCAGCTTGATTAGAAGCGACAGCAGGGCCAGAGAGGGGCGCGGGGGGGGGTCGCACGCGCCCCGCCCCCCTCACTGCAACAAAAACGGCAGGAGGGGTCGTACGCCGACTCAACCAAAAGCCCCCAACCAATGATGTGCCCTGACTCGGATAATTTAGGCGGATAGTAGGTCGAATGGTGGTTACAGCAGGAAGGGGAATCTTACTAGAAGAGGGACTTCCTGCAACGGGGGGGGGCGGGGGGCGGGGGGGGGGGGGGCGGGGGAGGGGCGGGGAGGGCGGGGGGGAGGGGGGGACCCCCCCGAAAAAATGCAAAATTTCTCAACGACGGATACACGGGACAGGAGAATCCATAGAACTACGATTTCTGAATCCCTTCGCAGCTTTTTTTTCGGCTGCTTGTTTTTTGTGGTGCTTTCCTCCTATACTTTCTTTTCAGCATCG